TTATAATTCAAAATCCTCATTTTATTCATTCATTTACGACACGTCCGGGGGCCAGTAGTGTTCCTGAGCAGGCAGAGCTGCTTGCTGCCAATCCTGTCACCCTGCGTTTAATTCCTGGGACCCAAGTAGTGGGAAGAGAACTGATTTCCTCATGTTGTTCTCTGAGTTCTGTGTGTGCACACATCCATGAAATGGTGTTCTCGCTCACACACAATAAATAAATCAGTGTTTAAATCTAAAAATAGAAGTAAATATTCACTAAGAAAAAATATATTTGTTCATTTTAGAGTCAAGACCTTGGCCGTATGTTAAATGTGTTGCAGCTCCCCGTAACATTTCCTGGAACCTTATCATTCAATCTGTCTCTTGCTTTATAGAATTTTCTTTTAGACTCCAGCGGGGGAGTCAACTGGAAGAAGACTGCCGGAAACAGAATGGAAGAGCAGTGTGGGTTGTAAGAATGGAATGAGGGAGAAAGCACAAATGAGCTTTGATGCCCTGTGGACGGTATCAAATGAAGCTGGTGTTTAAAAACTGCCAAGTGTCTGCTCTGCTCCGTGGGTTGAGTGTGAGACTCAAATGTAGTTCTTTCCCATCAAGAAATTTGTCTGCTCTATACTCTGATATCAAGAAACTGTCAGAGGGCTTGGCATGATCCTGAAAGAGGAGAAAGTGTTTACTGCCTTGGGATTCTAGACGATCCCTGAAAACTGGTGTGAGAGAAGTAAGACGGTCCCTTGGAAAAGATGCTGCTGTTTCTCCCCATCTTCTCAGGGCTAGATCAGTCTGAAGGCTGACTTGGCTGAGGGTGCTTTAAATGCTCTGGGGAAGCTGCAGGTCCCTGGTGCATCTCTTTGCAGCTGTCTTCTGATGAAAGAATCCTTCTCATGAGGAGACTCTGAACAACTAGAACATAACCTTCATAGCCAATACAGATCCTGAATGAATTCGTACGGTTGCAGCACAGAGGCTGCCCGCACGAGCTTTTGAAGCTTCCGTTGAAGTCAAAGACTGTAAGAGATCAGAGAGAGGCCTGGGTTCTCAGCATTTAACAACTGACTGAGGGCTGTGCTGCATCAGGCACTGTGCTCAGGGCAGAGAGGAAGATAAAACAGGCTCCCCGTCCTTGAGGAGCCTGCAGCCTACGGAAAGGAAAATGGACTAAAAGGCATTCCAGCGGGGAATACTGTGAGCTAGAACACTGGGTATTGGGCAAAGAGGCCGATCCTGTAGCATCCTAGGTACAGAAAGGGGGTCTCATTAGTTCCTCGAATTGATTAGGCAAGTAAAAAAGACAATATTAAAAAAAAAAAAAAACCAAGGGTCAGGGATGTAGCTCAGAGGTCAAGTACTTGATTATCACGTATACAAGGCACTGAATTTGATCCCTACCATCATAGAAGCAGATAATGACAGTGATGAAGAAGAAGAGAAATAAAGAGGAGAAGAAGGGGTAAGAGATGGAGGAAAGGAAGGAGGAGGGGACACTGGAGAGGAAAGACTGAATTACAATGAGTTTGCTAGGCTCTCACAAAGAAGCGTACCCACTGACTTGATTCTTTACAAGGTGGGCCCTGTCTTTCAGCCTCCAGCCTTTTAGTCTCAGCCTGCTTGGGTGACTCCTTCCCCACATCAAGGGTCCCAGAAAGAGAAGGTTGCTTTGTGAGGGTAACGCCAAGACAAAGTGTGATGAGGCCAGGAACCTCCAAAAATGCCACTGAGTTTGTTTTAAGTTGGCCATCTGCTACAGGCCATGGGGTCTGTCCTTGAGGCTGGTTTGCACACCGATAGAAACTCCACTGGAGAAAATAAAAACCATTTGGACAAAGTTATAAATAGAGCTAGCTTCAGTGTTAGGAGTGGGTGCTTGTGCCTACTTCCTCCCTCAGTGCTGGGACCACCGTCTGACTTGGACCTACGCAGGCCCTCTGCCTGCTGTGATAGTCTGTGTGAGTTCATATGCATCAGTCCTGCTGTGTTTAGGCCTTGTTTCCTTGGTGTCCCCCATCTCTTCTGGTTCTGACACTCTTTCTGCCTCTTCTTCTGGGATTCCCTGAGCCCCGGAGAGAGGAATTTGATGAGGACTTACAACCTCGAACTGAGTGTCCCGGGGTCTCTCACTCTTGGCACTTTTCCTGTTGTGGGTCTCTGTATTTGTTCCCATCTACTGCAGAAGGAAGCTTCTCTGCTGATGGCTGAGCAAGGCACTGGATCTGAGCATAGTAGAATGCTATTAGGAGTCAATATCTTCGATTGTGACTCTCCTTATTTACATCCTAGTTCTGAAGATGTACTTTAGTTACCTTATTTGAACTTGAATATTATATATTCTTCTGATTTAATATGGAAGTATCTACTACACTCCAGTACACGACATTACACTACAGATACAAATGTGTCTCCGAATAAGTGACTTCTATAGGTAGCCTACCTTACCATTGCCAGTGCACATATGGAAAAATCTCAGAGATCCATACCTAGACACAAGTTCAATACCAACTGTAGGAGGGAAATATGGATTCTCCCAAAAGGTTCTTTTGGTGTTCATTTTGCTGATCCCCTGACTTTATTAGTTTTTGTTTGTTTTATTTTAATCTCAGAAAATCTTCAAAATTCTGCATTTTGTTGGTTGGAATGAAGTTGAATTAGGCATATCATCAAGGCAGCTTCAATGAGGGAGCATGAGAAGCCAGACTCTTTCCCTGTGCTTTTGAGGATGTTTCTTACCCTTTGTCTTTTACCTTCCCATATCTGTGCTACTCTGAATCATGCCTTTGGATTAATCTGCAAAGTGTGTTACTAGGAGACTTTAAATATGCTGTAGAAATTAGTAGGAGACCGCCAGAATCTTAATGTTACTAATTCAACCTCTGTTGTTGGTGTTATCTACAGTGAGGGGAGAAAGCAAGGACTCACACACTACACATCTTCTGAACGAGGCAGCAACTAAAGACCAGGACATTGTCAAGGGTTACTACGGACGCTTAACAGATGTGCCCCAGTGTTAGGCATGAGCAGTATAGACGTGTGATTTCAGTTGATGAGGTTATTTTAAAAAAAAGATACAGAATTTTTTCAAAATTCATATTATGTATTTGAATATTTGTATTCAAATTCATAAAATAAAAAAAAAGTGTACAGAGAGTGGTTTGCTTTACTTTTGTGGCTGTAGGACTGGTGTATGGGGCTCCTCGATCTTACTTTTTTTTTCCTACTGGGTTCCAAGAGAGACGAGTGTCCATCTGGCTATGAGAGTTTTCCACCATCTAAAACTAAATTGCATGCACCTTAGCCTCATTTTAGCGAGGGACTCCTAGATCTTACACTTACAAAATGAAAAGAATGACTTTAATGAGAGACATGGGATGTGTTCAGATCTCAGACAAACCTGAAGCGAAGCAAAGTAAATTCTTGTTAAGTGACTTTACCAGCATTTGTTTGAGGCTGGAGGTGGGGGATGGGAGGGGGGGTGGGGAGGGCGGGGGGGTGTGTCTCAGGTGGTCCAAGCTGGCCTTGAACTTGTTGTATAGCTTGAGGGACTCTGTCGGGCCTCATCAGGTTTGTGGTGAGGTTTTTGTTTGGTTTGGTTGTTTGGTTGTTCTTAAATGCATGTTGAATGATCACTCAGCTACAAAGCTACATCCCAGCCTTTTTCATCTTTTATTTGGGGGAGGCACGAGGCGGGGAACAGAGTTTCTCTGTAGTTTTGGAGCCTGTCCTGGAATTAGCTCTTGTAGACCAGGCTGGCCTAGAACTCACAGAGATTCGCCTGCCTCTGCTTCCTGAGTTCTCGGATTAAAGGATTAAAGGTGTGCACCACCACTGCCTGGCTCTTTCCCATCTTTAAAAATCCTTTTCCTGAGGCAGCTGCCTATCTGGTCACCCTAAGCTCCCCAGAGATGTAGCCTCCAGAGGAGGTTGTGTTCTATGGGGCTTAACTGCTTTTTAAATTTTGAGAAATTCTCGAGTTTTCCCAAAGTCCTCACTAGCAGAATGAACCTGCATCAAAAAGGTCAAGGGTTGTGAGAACACATCACATGGCGTTTTAGGAGCAGAGCTAAGATAGGATCCTAGACTCACTGGCTCCTTAACTGTACCGGGATCTTGGGGCCTCTCTGTTGACAGAGGGTTAACTCATAGTCATACAACTCTTAGAGCTGCCCAGACTTCCCCTTCACCATCTATTTTGGTACCCGGTTAGCTCGTAGACCTGGGCAAAGCAATGCAATTCTTTGCAAAACAATTCTCAGTTTCTACACAAGATAAACACTAAGAAGCGTGGGGGAGGGGGAGCTGGGGGGGGCGCCGTTCATCATGCAGGCCTATAGTAACAGCATGAAGCAAATTGGAGGAGGCCGGACTGGGTTGCACAGCTAGGCTCTTTAAAGCACAGAGGAACCAAACGGAGGGGAAAAAAATCACAAGGAGAAGTACTCAAAGCTTTTGTTCCTTCTGTTAAAAAGCGGCGTGTCTATTTTGAATTCTCCAGTTTTAGGTCTACAAATCCAGTACTGCAAGAACTACTTAGCAATCAAGCACCCAAGCCATGTCCAAAGAAACATTCTGAGACAGACTTCGGAAAGAAAAGCTTTCTGATCTGCAGCCCTCCTTTATTTCTGACTTAATGTCTTTCTGTCTTCAAGATTGAAGGGCCAGTGTTCTGAAGACCACCTTACAGGCTCAGGTCGTTAAAAGCAGGAAACAAACTCAGGGTCGGTTCACTCGGTGTCACTTTGGGTTCTGGGTCAATGCATACACAGACCTGAATTTAAGCCCGGGACTGTCCTTGGCCTTTGCACAGTCAGGTGGCAAAGAGATAGACGAAGAGACCACCCGGACGAGGCACTGGTTAGCCTCCCTGTGGGGCTTCGCGGCGCTCCCTTGAGCCAGGACCGGACCAGCTAAAAAAGGGCAAGTCCCGGGGATGTGACCCACGGGCGCTGAGGCCACCTGTTCTCGGCAGCCAATAGGCCGGGCCCAGGGCGCGGCTACAAAAGGAACGCGCGCGGCCGCAGGCTGGGAGTTGGAGCGAGGGCGGTGGCTGGGACCTTGTGCACGCGGAGCAGGCAGGACCAGGGCGATGCTGAGGGTGAGGTGTCTGCGCGGCGGCAGCCGAGGTGCCGAGGCGGTGCACTACATCGGATCTCGGGTGAGTTCCTCTGCAACCTCGGGACTTCTGCGGGACTCAGGGTGGGAACCCAGAGGGGGACCGGACTCCCCAGTGAGAGGGTGGCGTGATCTGGGTTCGGAGGCCCGCGAAGGCATTTTTCTGGGAAGATGCCTGTGGGTGGATGGATGGAGCTGCCGGCTCCAGCTGTAACAGGGATTCCCTATGCTTCCTGGGGAGTTGGAATGAGTCCAGTCAGTCCCCCACCTGCTGCTCCGCCCTGCCCTCTGCTTCCCTGGGATCTCTGCGCATGCCTGCAGATTCGCCCTGGCCCCCTCAACAGGAATAGCTCTGGCAGATGAGTTCTGCCAGCAGCCGGTTCATGAACAGCTGTCACTTGCCCTCTTGCTTTGGGTCTCCACCCTTTCTGCTCCTCCAGCCCCCTTCTGGAGGAATTTTAACAGCCCGATTGAGATTGGGGGGTGGGGGGGACAGGTGAGGTTTGCACAGGGGAAGGGGAGAAGGAATCTTCCCTGTTCTAGGTTATAGAAGGCTCTATTTTTAACAAGGGAATCAAGGACCATCTGTAATATGGTGCAAGTGACAGTTGGTCATTCTCTGACTTGAAATGCTAAGGAATGTGAAGTATATGTCAGAGACTTTAAAAAATAGGTTGGAGCTGCTTATTCTGAAAGGCAAGATCTTTTCAAATGACTCCATGTTATTCACAGTAAAAAAAAAAAAAATCGGACTGAGAAAGGAAGACTTCCTTCCCCAGTTGGATGTGACAGGGCATTCATTTGGGGAACTTCTGTGAACTTTTTAGAAAGCTTGTTTGCATTATTCTGAGATACAGATAAGGAATGTGGTGGCCAGGAACCAGATCTTCTCTGGGGCTTTTAAAAGTTACAGCATTTAACATAAATGAAAACAAAATCTATAATCAACAACAAGTTGAGTGACTTGTTTGCTTATTTTAAGTCGCTCACAACTCTCTCTGCATGAACGTCTTAGTGTCTCTGTGTTATCCTGGCTTCTCAGACTTTAACCCCAGCTTGTCTGAGTTTTTTTGTTTGTTTGTTTGTTTGTTTTTGTTTCTTAAGCTTGGAGGACTCTTGACAGGATGGGTGCAGCGAACTTTCCAGAGTACCCAGGCAGCTACAGCTTCCTCCCGGAACTCCTGTGCAGCTGAAGACAAGGCCACCGATCCTCTACCCAAGAACTGCCCCGTCTCCTCTTACAATGAATGGGACCCTTTAGAGGAAGTGATAGTGGGCAGAGCAGAAAATGCCTGTGTCCCGCCATTCACGGTGGAGGTGAAGGTAAGCAAGGGTTTGCAGGCAGGTTCTCTCCTCGGCCTCTGCTGCCTGATTCGGCTCCGGCCCTCCTCTGCGGCCGCTTTCACCTCGGTGGGGCAAGGGAGTAATTTTAAGTCATTTTGCTTGCTTGCGCTAGTATTCGGTGATATTTACACATCGCTTCCTTCTTGAAACGTCCCTGGGAGTGGAGGAGAGCTTTCCTGGGATGTTATTCTTTGGGTATTCCTCCATATTTTCCTTCCCGACTTGCTAGTCTGCTGTTTCACTTTTGTCTCGTTCTTGTAGCCATTCTCCCAGCTTCCGCGCCCTCCTTCGCTCCAGGCCAGACCACTCCCCTATGGGCCTTCTAGTCTAGGTCTCCACTGTGAACTCCATAGTGGATATGGAGTTGGCCACTGGCACAGCTGGAGTTCCAGTTGTGGAACATCTGTAAGCCAAAGTCCTTATTTCTTCCTTTTAATTTTTGGCAGTTTTACTTAATCAGATTAAAACACAAGTCATCTATGAATTCTCCTTCAGTCACATTCCCCACATCAAGTCTTTTGTTGAAAGGAATCTTGCCGCACGCTTCAGTCTCTGCCCTAGGTCTGGAGTTCATCTATGCCTGGACTATTGCTGTAAGCTCCCAGCTGCCTCTCCTTCTCTGCCCTCTCCAGACCACATCCCAGCCACTATTGGAGTGACTGTTTTAAACCCAGATTTGATCATGTGACTCATGATCCCACGATTCCTCTGCCTTACTAATACCCTTCTTCCATTGCTGAGAATAAAGCCCTCATGGTATCCAGGTTTCTCCACAAGCTGGCTCCTTGTTCACTTATTAACTCCTCTTAGAGATGTGTGAGTGCAGCAAACTGGCAGATAATCATTTCTATTTAAGTTTCTTTCTGTTCTAATAGCCCACCTGGACTTCAGGCGGACTTTAGCAAACAACCAAGGACTAATTACAAGGACTAATAAACAGCAAAGGGACTAAGCCTTTGCTCCCACCCAAGTGTGTCTCACCCACTTTCCTGCACTCCCTTCTGCCCCTACCTAGCTCTACAATGTCTTTCCCATACCCTCCAGAGCTTCCTGACAATAAGTAATATCTTCCTTTTAAAAACTAAACTCCTAATATTTACTTGCAGTATTCTTGTGGTCCATATGGGCTAGTGTTCAGATGGAGTGTCATGAAAGGGTCCCTTCCTTTTTGTAAGCACTTTTTAAAATCTTGTTAATCGTTAGTTATAAATTAACTTATAAATCTTAAGTGTACATGAGTTCTTCCTAAATACCTACATTTTCATCTTCAATGCTGAATGGGGAAATAAATCTGTAACCGTGTCACCAGAAATGCACCTGCATAAAGGAGCTCACTTCTGTTTGGGGAGACACAGTGTACACCTTGATGCAGATGCTAAGTATCTATGCCACCCAGCTGGCAGGGTGGTTGAAGTGCAAGGAACAGTTGAGGGAAGAGCCAGTGCCAAGCATTGGGTAGTTACAAAGTATTCTGAAGGAAGTGGCTCTTTAGTGAGACCTGGCAGAGACAGCAATGGCTTCTTCATATTGTTCTGAATATATCTCTGCTTCTGATCACTGAAATTTGCCAAGCAGATTACTTTCTATGTTATCCCTATATTATAAAATAAATAAGACATAGTCTTCTAATGTCTTTTCTTGAAAAGAAATCCCTACCCATTTTGATTGGGAAAATTCAAATTCGGGCAATAATTTATCAACATCTAATCCGTCTTTAAAATTATTGACCATTATATATTCATAAAATCTGACCTCAGATGTCTTTAATTTGTGTGTGTGTGTGTGCATGTGCATGCCTGTACACGTACTTGTGGAGGCCAGAAGAGGGTGTCAGATCCCCTGGAGTTAGAGTTACAGGCAGTTCTAAGCTGCCAGACATGGGTGATGGGAACTGAACTCAGGTTCTCTGGCCGAACAGGAAGTGCTTTCAACTACTAAACCATCTGTCCAGCCCCAATACTCTGTGATCTTAAGGAATCAGAATCCTCAGACATCATTTGAAGTGCTTTGGCACTTGTTTTGTGACTTTAGACTTTGTAGCTTTTAAAGTACATGTGGAATGAATGTCATTGAAGGCAGGGGGCTGGCATTGAATTAGTTACCTGATAAAAGCTGAATGACTCATCTTGAAACTGCTTGACCTGCAGAATTTCTATTAAGTTTGCCAACTACCTCACAGGATTAAACTTGAAGCTATAAAATTATATGTTGTAAAGCACAAAATATGGAAAGTAAAAGTCATAGCTTTATGGATCCAGTTTGCCAGTACATTACAAAAGTATGCTGGGAATATATTAGGTGTAGATACCAGGATACCAGTAGCATTAGCCATACTGATTTCATTCATTTTTCTGATTACTTCTGTTTTATGTGACAGATTAAGCTAGGCATTGAGGGAGGAAAAAGTAAATAGAAGATATATATATATATATATATATCCTCTCAAAGGTAGATAGAAAGAGAGAGGAGTCTCCTGAAGCCTAAGCTAGTCTTAAACCATCCAAAGATGACCTTGAATTCCGGATTAACCCCCCCCCCCTCAACTCCCTAGGCCCAGGAACACAGATAAAATTACTGTGTTTAAGAACAATAGGAGCCAGGCAGTGTTGGTGCACGCCTTTGATTCTTGCACTCTTGCAAGAGGCCGAGGCAGGTAGATCTCTATGAGTTCAAGGCCAGCCTGATCTACAGAGTAAGTTCCCCCAGGGCAGCAAGGGCTACACAGAGAAACCCTGTTAAGGAAGAAAGGAAGGAAGGAAGGAAGGAAGGAAGGAAGGAAGGAAGGAAGGGAAGGGAAGGGAAGGGAAGGGAAGGGAAGGGAAGGGAAGGGAATAATGACTGGGTTTGGTGATGTATGCCTATGATGCTAACACTCAGGACATTGAGTCAGTAGGATCTTGAGTTCAGGACCAGCCCAGCCTACATAGCAAAACCTTGTTTCAAAAAGAAAAGAATGATAAAACAATGTAGTAGAGTTCTCGAGGTGAATAGAGTTTAATTATGCTTCAAGACACACACGTTGAAAATTTTTTTCAAAGGAACAAGAAACATGTAGGTCAGAAAGCACTATTTTAAAGACTTAATAGCTTTTTCTTTTGTAAAACATAGTAAATAGTTGCTTTTGTCTTTTTTAAATAAGGCCCTTGATAGAAGACTCCAAAAATATTATTAATTAAGGTTAATGTAATACAAGTTTATTGCCCGATTAACAAAAAGTTTGAGTCTATTGGTATTTCTTAGATTTTCCAGAGAGGGCATTTGAAAACTAATGGAGCAGACAGACTCTGCCCAGAGGGTTCCAGGGTGTGAGGGCTACAAAGTCTCCAGGAAGGCAGCTCTATCTCTGCCATAGACTGTCAAAGGTGTCATGTGCTACAGTGGAGTGCTCATTGTCTGGAAAATTCTGGGTAAATGATTGCTAACCAAAGTGTAAACAATTTCTAAATCTTTCTCAGAAAATCATTTGGACTTTGTCCAATGTTTGCCAGATTATAAGCTGCACCAACATTTGTTCAAATAAAACTTTCTCCCAGAATAGTTGAGTTGACTTAGTCTTTCATAGCAAGGCAAGGTTCGCTCTGAACAGATACTCAACACTAAATACTTTGGAGTGAGTCTGGCAAGACGACACAACTGTGTCTGCCGTAATTCTGTGTTGAATTGTCAAAGGCTTCTTGTCCCTCAGTGGACTGCAGGAGATGTGCCTGGCATGAGAAGATGGAGTGGTGAATGGCTGGGCAGTAGTGCCAGGATGTGTCAGAGAGGAAAATAAAGAATCATTATCCTCTGTTTCTAGCTGCTACTGAAGAAACTCCCGGGAGTAGAAAACTACTTGTTTTGGTTTGGCATTACTTTGTTTTTGTTTTTAAGAGTGGATTAGCCATAAAAGTACTCAAATGTTTCACGCTGGTAATATTTCTCCTGGGTTAGAAGAAGTTGGCTATATGTTCATAGATCTTCAAAAGTCAAATTAATCAGAACAGTGACCAGAAAACTGTTTCTGTCGGAAGTCAGCCAGTAAATGACTCAGGCTTTGCAGAGAATGTACATCTACGCTGCCACTTTTTGACTCTCAGCCTTGCCTCTGCAATGGGAAAGCAGCCACAAGTACTGCTTAACAAAATTAGCATGGTGAGTCCGCTTAAACGTGTGCCGGTAAAAACACCAGCCTGGCTGGATTTGGCCTGGGGATCTTAGTTTACCAGCAGCTCAGCTTTCAGAGCCTAGTTAGCTAGCATCCTTCTTTCTTTTGGAAGATCCGCTTCTCAGCTTCTTCTGTGTCCTCCAGCCTGGGTCCCAGACTAAGCAAAGGTAGGAAAATATATTTTCTATTTATCATATTAAGGTAAATATAGAAGCAGAAACATAAACTGAGGGGGAGGAATGCCTTTGATATTGAAGATCTAGGCAGTTAACCCAGTCCTGCTGAACAAAACTATTAGAAATATCAAGTGTGGTGGTGCACATCTTTACTCCCAACACTTGGCAGAGGAAGGCAGATCTCTGTGAGATCAAGACCAGCCTGGTCTACAGATTGAATTCCAAGTCAGTCAGGCCACATGATGAGACCTTACCTCAAAACAAACAAAAACAAAGATCTTTTAAGAACAAGAACCTTAATAAAGAATCCTAGTTTTAGAAGATTTTATACATCAAAGTGGAAACATTCAAACTTAAAGAACATAGTAGCCAAGCCCGTGACTATATGGAACACTGTCCAGTCAGAGGACTGAAACTCTTGTCCTGTTTAGTCATGTAGGAGGTGAGCGCACAACCTCTCCCAGCCCTGTCCTTGCTTGTGAAGAAGTCACATGTTTGAACGCATTGTCTCTTGGGTAGGATTGTCAAAGCGCTATGGGTATCTAGCTAAACTAAGTGTATTCTTGTGCACTTGAGCCTTTAACCCATCTCTGCCCCTTCTTTCTAATACTTATTGCTATCTACAAATGTCAGATTTGAGGCAGACACCTTAAGGATAAGACATGATTAGAACCAGGAGTTGGTTGTCAACCTGTGAGTGATGCGACGCGACTTAAAAACAATACCTGTGTTGAATGTGTTTTTCAGCTAAAAATGTTTAAATGTTACATGGCTTTGGCAGTGTTGTGATGAAGTTCTAAGAGTTTTTCTCAGGGTCGGGATTCGCTGCTTCATCTCCCTGGGTAGCATGCACTCGCCCAGTGTTTTTCTTTAAATTGACTGACAATTTGGATACTTGCCCAACAATCTGAACGTAGACTCTTTCCATCTTTACGCTTGCATCTCACCTTTGGGAAGTGTTTACATACTTAGCTTCTGGAATCCTGAAACTCTGTGAGCTTGCATTTCAGATTACTTCCGAAGGGGCCTGAGATGAGGTGAGACCTAGCTGGAGAGAGGTGAGGGATATTAGGGTGAGACACAGCTGACAGACCAGCTCCAAAGCCTGCCTTGTGTCGCTGCCCAGTTTTGTTGAATGCAAATTCTTTCCAGTGGGAAAAGGAGCCATGCAGGTTAAGACATGTAAAACATTTCTGAGAACGTAATCTTCACACTGTTAAAATACCTTTTTTTTGTCCCACAAAAATCTCTTGAAGTGCAGCATTCCTGTAAGAACTCGGGAGTTTGTGGATTATTTCGGGTCTTGGCTTAGTGTAGCGGTTTTTCTTCTTTGTTTGGTTTGACCTCCTGTTTCATCTCAGTGAGACTCTCTAACAGGAGTGTCTATGTCTGTGAAGCATGGCCAGGAAGATTCCAAGCCTGGATCCGGGACAGGCAAGCTGTTAGGGGTTAGGCATGAGATCTGAGGCAGAAGGATCAAAGACCTCAAGAAAATTTGGGGTTGGAAGAAGATGTTCGGTAGTTAAGAGCACTTCCTGCTCTTCCAGACCCTAGCTTAGTTCCAACACCAGTGTCTGGCACAGCTCACAACTGTAACTGCAGCTCTAGGAAATCCAGCACCTTCGTCTGGCACAAGCACACGTGCACACACACACACAAATAAAAACAAGTCTCTAAAAATATATAACAAGATGATTTAGAGATCTTCAGTCACCAAATCCTGGGGTCTGTGCGGAGGCTGGTGTGCTCAGTACTGGGGACGAGCTCTGGACATCCCTCTCCCACTGTGCAAATAGCCGTTCCCGCCTGCGAACCTACCTGGAGCTGTATTATTCTCCTGTAACTCTTTCACTTACTTTCTTCTGCTTCTAGGCCAATACATACGAAAAGTACTGGCCATTTTACCAGAAAAACGGAGGTCTTTATTTTCCCAAAGATCATCTGAAAAAGGCTGTTGCCGAAATTGAAGAAATGTGCAATATTTTGAAAATGGAAGGCGTGACGGTGAGGCGGCCTGACCCCATCGACTGGTCGCTGAAGTATAAGACTCCGGATTTTGAGTCTACCGGTAAGCAACATCATGAAATTAATCTGGCAGATCCTTGGTTTTTGATTTCCTCCTCAGACATATAGGGGGAATGCTCTTAGGATTTCTTGAAGAATCCTTTGTTTTACTTACTTCTACTTCAACACCATAGAGATTATTGAGGAAGCATCTGGTTCATTTTGATATGCCTGAGATGTACACTTTCTAAGCTTCTGATGTTACAGACATTTTTCATAAGAACACTGAATTGAGGGAGGGGGAGGGAAAAGGGAGGCGGGGAGGAGGTGGAAATTTTTAATAAATAAATTAAAAATAAAGAACACTGAATTGTTCCTACTTTTCCTTAACGACAGAAATTCAAATATAAACAGAGGGGCTGGAGAGACCCTCTCGGCAGTTAAGAGCCATCACTAATCTTGCGGAGGACCTGGGAGTTCCGTGTTCCCAGCATCACATCAGGCAGCTCATAACAGCATGTTATGAGCTCCAGGAGTGTGACGCCCTCTGCTGGTGCCCCTACTTCCACACAGATACACGTGTTTCAATTTTTAAGGGGGAAATGGAGACATCCCTTTTTTAAACTGCCACTATTTTACAACTACTCTTGTGCGTGAATTCTGTAATTTATTTCTCAGAATGATCTTAGCCTCGTTCTTACGGTGTCACTCTGTCCATTGTGAACTCTATTTCTGTATCTTACGGTGACACGTTGTCCCTTGTGAACTCTGTTTCTGTATCTTACGGTGTCCCACTGTCCCTTGTGAACTCTGTTTCTGTATCTTTAAAAAGGAACCTGCAAGTAGAGAAGGCTTTATGGTTCAAAATCTTCCTCAATACTTTGTTTCCATTTTTGCTTGACATCACACCCAATAGGGAATTCTTGTCAACAACCTAGTCTAGTGTGTACCATTTTTTTCTGCCACGTATTGTGTAATTACACAGACAAACAAGGCTTTAAGTAAACTTTGCTGCAAATAGATTGTGTTATACATGCTTTATTGTTTTGGAAAGTTGCATCACTGAAGTGGCTGTGTAACTTTTGATCCAATAGGTTTATACAGTGCGATGCCTCGAGACATCCTGATGGTTGTGGGAAATGAGATTATTGAGGCTCCCATGGCATGGCGTTCACGCTTCTTTGAGTACCGAGCATACAGGTCACTTATCAAAGACTACTTCCACCGTGGCGCCAAGTGGACAACAGCACCCAAGCCCACCATGGCGGATGAGCTGTATGATAAGGTATGTCCCTAGCTATAGACCAGCGTGTTAGTGGCTACTGTTCCAAGCAATCCACAAAGCATAAGAAAGGAATTCTCTGGTACTTTACATATATTATGGATTTTCATTTAAAAACTTACTATATTTAGATGAAACCAGGAGTAAATGTCAATGATCATAACAGCAATAACATTTATTGCTTACTCTGTACTGAGTCCTGGGCTCAGGCCGTATCACCAATCATATTTATTCTTACCAAAACTCTAGAAAGTGATGATGATGGTGGCCCACGCCTTTAATCCCAGCACTCAGGAGGCAGATGCAGAAGGGTCTCTGAGTTCAAGACCAGCCTGGTCTACAAAGTGAGTTCCAGGACATCCGGGGCTGCACAGAGAAACCCGGTCTTGAAACAAAACAAAACAAAACAACAAAACTCTAGAAGGCAGTGATAGCATGTTATCATTTCGTCATTGGGAGTCAAGCTTGTCCTAAGGGCACATTGCTGTTCACTGCTGGAGCCACAGCATTCTTTAGGATAGTCTTTCTCTTCCAGCGAAAGCATCTGGTGTCTCGGCCAGATTCTCAGTAAGGTGAAATGTGCAGTCATCTCCTGCCCGCAGGTTCTGCACCCATGAATTCAATCAAATTCCAATAATATTTTTGAAAATTGTGCCTGCCATTCAACGACAATATGGCATAACATTTTTATCTGTGACATTTGAGTTGCCCTGAGGGTTATAACTAATCTAGAGATGTTTTACTTTTGTTGTTGTTGTTGTTGTTTTGGTTTGGTTTGCTTTGGTTTTGGTTTTTCGAGACAGGGTTTCTCAGTGTAGCTTTTGGGGCCTGTCCTGGAACTCACTCTGTAGATGAGGCTGGCCTTGAACTCAAGGGATCTGCCTGCTGCTGTGTCCCAAGTGCTGGGATTAAAGGTGGGTACCACCACCGCCCGGCTCTATAGGTGTTTTAAAGGATTCAGGAGGACATGCATAAATCTATGCAAATGTGCTAATTTATGCAGTGAATTTGAACATCCATAGATTTTAGTATTTATGGGGTATTAGAACTAATCTCCTCCACAAATACAAGGGATATATGTCCTTAGTAAGATAAATATGATTCATAGAAAAATTCACTTATAGAAATAATTTTAAAGCAAAAAATTATTCCAGGCATTTAAAGGCAGAAATGAAAAATAAGTCCTGCACATCCAAATTTGGCAGGGGAGCAACCTGGCATCTCATTTTAGGGTGTAAATTGGGCTCAGGTCCAAATTCCTTCTCTAAAGGAGAAGGGCGACTTCATCCTGCTGGCTTTCAGCATTGTAACTACCTACATGTGTGTGTGCATGTGTTGTGTGTGTATGTGCGTGCTTGTGCGTGCGCGTGTATGTCTCTGTGTGTCTGTGTGTGTGCATGTGCGTGTGTCTCGTGTGTGTGTGTTTGCACGTGTATGTGTGTGCATGCGTGTGTCATGGACTGTTTTCAGCATCAATTGCTACCTGCACTACTTGTTTCTACGTGTCAGGAAGTTACTCTAATGCCTAGGTTTTCATTTCGTTGTTGTGTGGTTTTGGTTTGATTTGTTTGTATTACTTTTCTGTTTGTTGTGACAAGGGCCTTGAGGGAAGAATCTAAGAGAGAAAGAGATTATCTTAGTTCGTAGTTTGGATTTCATCGCCCCACCCACATGCTTTGGCAGAACAGTGTGTTGACAGAAGCATGCAGGAGATGTTTTGACTTCTTGGCAGACCAAAAAGAGAAAGGGAACACAAGAGAAAGGAGGAGACCAGAGCAAGAGAGAGCCAAGGACACACCCCAGTGACTCACCTTCTCCCAGTTACACTCCACCTCCTAATTTTCATTTTTTATAATGCGATCATATGACTCCATCAAGGGATTAATCCATTGATTAGGCTAGCGCCCCTCATAATCTATTTTATTTCTGAAAATCCTAAAGGTCTATCCTTCACTAATCCCTTGGGCTTTCCTTACCCAATCAGATTGGCAGTCAGAATTGACCACCACAGACCAACATCTTTTCCATAGGTGTTTTAATCTAGAGTTGAATTGTAGTGTTTTGGGAAATGATGCTAGTGAATTCATTTTTAAAATCATGTATATCCTTGTAAATAAATTCCTTTAAAAACTAAATGCAATGTGTATGTTCGTTCTCTTTCCAACTAGGATTATCCCATCCATTCTGTGGAAGACAGACACAAATTGGCCTCCCAGGGAAAGTTTGTGACGACCGAGTTCGAGCCATGCTTTGATGCTGCTGACTTCATTCGAGCCGGAAGAGATATTTTTGCTCAGAGAAGCCAGGTTGCTAACAACCGTCTCTAAAGCCCCACGCTACGTTATTGCATTCGTGATTCCTAAATTTAAAAGTTTAAATCCTACATACTTTTGGTTTCCCAAACTTAGAATGGAATAGTTTTAAGATTGCTTTTACTTTCAGGTTACAAACTTCCTGGGCATCGAGTGGATGCGTAGGCATCTTGCTCCGGACTACAGGGTACACACCATCTCTTTTAAAGACCCCAATCCAATGCATATCGACGCCACCTTCAACATCATCGGACCTGGGCTTGTGCTCTCCAATCCTGACCGACCGTGTCATCAGGTAGGAGGGTTCTTAGGACGCCAGAAAAGCTACAGAACCTGGCAACTTTATTGTAAACAAAAGAACCTTGGCACCTTAAGTATTCCCATGGCCCAAGTGGTTCTCAGTGACAACTTTAGCAACGGTCAGGGGCATTATTTTCAGATATTAAATTGCTTATGCTTACAAGATTCCCAGTGTGCAGAAATCTACACTGCCATTGTGACTGTTAGAATAGTATCTTCAGACTTAGATTTTAGCTGTTTGCGGCTATCACGCATCAAATTGTGTGTCTGACTATGTTATCCTTCAAAAGTGATTTCCTCACCATTTTCAATTGCAGTTCAACAGTATTATAAACAAGAGACTTCAGCATGGCCAGAGCAATGCCAATGAGCATTAGGTGTCTTTCCCCTCAAGTAGATCAGACTCCCTTCAGCCTGCCTTCTTGAGGAGGAGCAGACCTGCCAAGCTGACCCTGTTCCCTCCCTATCACCCACAGCCTCTTCGACCCGCTGCCTCTCGGTCCAACTGGGAAATGAGTTATTTACAGGGCTGTAGGACAACTTTTAAAAAGTACTTTCATGCTGTGCGCAGGTCATACCTATCCCTTATTTTCATACCTGAGGACCAAGATGATCCCTTTCATCTGCTAGGACGTGTGGATGTACTAAGTCAGAGTATGGTTTGTGTGGAGATGACTCACTTGTAATGGCTATCCCGTGGCAGCTGTGCTGCTTTGCCATTACATCCCTGACCTTTGTCCTTATTCATGGCCGTGCGGAATGACGGGACTGTGGAGCAGAGAGACTGTCAGTTTGCCATCATCACGGCGTGGCTTTCTTATAACTAACCAGGAGACGTTTAAATGTTCTTTAATGGGAATGCCTTGGGAAAGTGTCTTTGGTATTAAATTTTGAAACCTGAAAAGCTTTATAGTCACACACACACACACACACACACACACACACATCATACACACACACACACACACATACACACACACATCCCACACACACACACACACACATACATACACACACACATCCCCCCCCCACACACATACATACATACACACACACACACATACACACACACACACACACATAATTAAGTTCAGACAAACGGTGCATTCTCTCTTCAATCCTCCCATCCCCCTCAACTCTACTCCTCCCTGCCAGACCCTTTTCTATATTCATGACTTCTGGTTTGGTTTTGTGTCCCATTTAGTTTAACCAGGGTCGTCTGTGTGACTGCTGTGTTGGGATCGCCACTGGATACCAAGCGAAGGCAATGACTCTATCAATAGCAAACAGTTCATTAGAAAAGGGTGGGGCCCCTGAGCCCCTCCTCCATCTGTGTCTCTCTGTCGACAGCCCATTCTTGTACAGACCTGGTACAAGTATCTGCGGCTATTTTAAATTATAATTTAAACAGAATCATCAACTTTTTAAAATATATATATATATATGGTTTATTTATTTTCTTATATGCATTGGTATTTTACCTGAAGGTATGTGTGTTGGCTCTCCCTGGAACTAGAATTACAGACTGTTGTTGTGAGCTGCCACATGGGTTCTGGGAATTGAACCCAGGCCTCCTGGAAGAGCAGCCAGTGCTCTTAACCACAGAGCCATCTCTCCATCTCCCAAAGTCATCAACTTTAAAAAAATTGTGTCCTTATTTTGTAAATGGAGGAGATGACTTGCTAAAGAGCCATTAATGATAAGGAGAGCTGCGTGAGCACATGCCCATAATCCTAGCCTCTTGTGTGATGCTGAGGCAGGTGGATTGTGAGATCAAGACCAACTGGGCTATATGGCAGATGTCATCTTTAACAACAAAACCATAATGACTCCCAGAAACCCAGTGGCAAATGTGGATTTAAGTCTGTTGGGTTGTTTGATCTTACAGATTGATCTTTTCAAGAAAGCAGGATGGACCATAGTTACGCCCCCATCACCAGTCATCCCCGATGGTATGTCAACTCTTACATCCTTTGTGACCAAATAGCTTCCCCTGCAGAGAAAGCCATCTTTTGTCACACTAGAGATGGCATTTCCCCAGTGTACAGTAAAGTGCCGCTAGTTCTAGAGTGAGGCCGGGACAAGTGTTTCTGAGTTTTCCTTTCATAGAAAATGAAAATGAGGAGACAGAATTTAAAATATCATATGAAGCAAGATACGACTTTTAAAATAAGATGGGATGAATTCCAAACGCCTGAGGAATGTGGGTTGTTTTGTAAGATTTACAAATATGTTGCTCTACAATCAAAATAGGTTCTCAAAGCTGGAAATGTAGTTCAGTGGTAGAGCGCTTGTCTAGCATGTTTAAAGCTCTGAGTTTTATCCCCAGTAGTACAAGAACTAACAAAAAAAAAAAAAAAAACAAAGCAGAGCAGGGTGGAATAGGACAGCAATGGCAGCAGAGAGGAGGCTGAGGCAAGGGAATTGCAGTCCAGCGTCACTTTGCGTCATTGTAGAGAAAACGTGTCAGAAAGAAGAAGGTAACATAAGATGGTAAAATAAGCTCTCCTGTGGGAACTAAGCAGGCTGGGACCGAGCTGTCACTTCAGCGCCCTTCCCTTGATCAGACACGCGTGGTCTAACCATTGATGCTATTTTCAGATCACCCCCTCTGGATGTCATCCAAATGGCTTTCCATGAACGTCTTAATGCTAGATGAGAAGCGTGTCATGGTAGATGCCAACGAAGTTCCAATTCAAAAGATGTTTGAGAAGTTGGGTATGTATGATAAACACAGCACGTGGTCACATAAAAACAATGGTCACCACTAATTGAAGAAAAGACCTGCAGACTCTAAAATGGGGTTTATTGAATTCGATTTCTGTTCCCTTTAAATGTACCAAATTATTACCTTTTAATTGGTTAGTGATTTTGCTTCTCTTAAGCATAGCCTTTAAAATTTGGGCATATATCATGAGGTCCTGAAACATTTGGTGGCAATAGTTAATCAATCTTCTGTCTCTCTGCTGGTTTCCTGGTGCCCACGCGCTGAGTGAGAGTTACCATACTCAGATGAGTTGCTTTGCCTTCCTACAGAGAAGGAATTACTGAGGGCCCTTTAGAAGAAATTTAATGGTGATCTCATGTTTCAGAGGGCTTGTCAGGACACAACTGGACACTGATATGTGTGTGCATTAAGACAGTTCACATGGCTTTGAGATGCAATAAAGGATGCCAGCCCGGCATTCCGCTTTTAAAGAGCAAGATTGGTTTCACTAGGGGTCACATGTTCCTATTTTGACATTTAAGTTTTAGACCAGGATTCTAATACTGTTGAGGAAAACCTTGAACGAAAGGATTTCGTGTGAGCCATGGGGTCCAGATTATGTGAGAGCGGTTCTTAACACATTCAACATATCCTCAGTGTGAATTTGGTAACAGCCAGGCAGCCTATTTGCTGAAATTAGGTTGTTAAAATTTTGTTCTGCATTTCCGATATACCCCATAAAAGACTATTCTCTTATTTGCCACACCACACCTGTCCTTAATGTTGAATTTGTTTTTAAAAAGATAGCTTGAAGTTTTGAATTGAGCAGAATCTGATGCTTGGACCCATAAAGCCAAGCCATGTTTTCCTTGGCCTTCATTAAGTAACAAAATTTCTTGGGTTCAACTTTTTCATCTATTATGATTTTGTTGTTTCTCAACTTAAACCAATGGAAAGTACCAAATAATCTGATTTGAGAGTTTTAATTTTGTAGTTAAAGTCATGTAGTTAGTCATGGGGAACTTACATACATTTCTTCAAATAGCTATGATTCCCTCCAGCTGAGGATGAATACGCTGTGACCAGCCAGGACGTGGGTGCTTCTGATCCCACATCTGCTTTGTGTTTCCATTCAAACTGCACTCTTAGACTTCAAAGATGGAGGAGGAGTACCTCAGGGGCGTCTTTCTTAAGCCTTCTTGTTCACCCCCACCATACAGTGAGCCTTGTAGTGATTCTGCAGCTCATGTCCCCTCAAACGGAGGAGGAAAAGAACAGCTTACTGTGTCTGATGTAGCAGAGTCTGAGTGCTGTTATTTAAGTGGCCCCTGCGCTCATAGACACGTTCTCACATATGGTGCCAGCTGAAGCTGATTGTCTGATTGGCTCTGATACCTGAATAACCACCCAACCCAGATAGTAAACTACAGCTCTGATGTATTTTTCCCTTGAGGTGGTCTAGCCCAGTTAATCTGCAGAAGGTGAATGTGTTCTTATTGCACTTATGTCGAGTCGGCATTTCAGTACTTAATTTTAGTACTTGGTAGGTAGATCTGCTCATCCAGGCTGTTGACTTGTGATCACTCCATAGAACAAAACTTGTCTCTGTTGACTTCTTTTGTTGAAGATGTTACAGAAGTGTGATGGGCTAGGTTAGATGAAATAAAGTCTGTGAAAGCAAAATTAAAAAGAAAAGACCACTGTAGACTGGACTGAGGGATTTGAACCTCTGTTCCTGCAGGTATTTGAACTTACTCCCCGCTGTGAGATCTAACGCGAGTCCCTCTGACTGACCTGTCTTTTTCTCTCAATGCAGGTATCACTACCATCAAGGTTAACATTCGAAATGCCAACTCCCTGGGGGGAGGCTTCCACTGCTGGACCTGTGACGTCCGGCGCCGGGGCACCCTTCAGTCCTACTTTGACTGAGTGGGCATGGCGTAGCTTGGAGCACGGCCTCAGATATACCTAAGAAGCGTAGCAGCAAGGCCCAGTCTCTCGCTTTAATAAATGCATGGACTGTAGTGCTTTGAACAATCACGTCTTTAACAGGGTTCCCAGGCCTGGGTCACTTTTCTTTGACACAAGGAAGATTACTCTTACTAGGTTCACGTTCTTCTCCTAAGTTCTTTACTGTTTGGCTTCAAGCATAAAAGCTGAGTAAAAGCAAACCAAGGCAAAAATTAGTCACTTGAGTAACTTGGCCACTAATATTTAACCATCTACCTCTGTTTTTAATTTTTTTTTCCAAAAGGCAGCTTGAAATGTCAGTCCTAACCTTATTTTTTCCCCTTTTTTGGTGGACTTGTGACTGTTCATATCACTTCTTTTTTGCTAAATGGGACAAAGACTTAGGGGAAAACCCCCCCACAGATCCTAAGTAGAATCAGATATTTGTCACTTTTTCTAGAAAACAAATTTGGGTAGTTTTTTAAAATTTTTTTTAAAAAAGAATCCTGACTATGCAAACACTAAGAACAAATTTCCCATGAGCGCTTTTAACATTCTGTTGCTGACATTTGGTCCTAAAATCTCGTCCTACAGCTTACCTCATCTCAAGTGGGTCATTCTTGTCTTCTTCCTTTCCAGAAGTTACAGACCTGCTTAGTGTAATATGGTATAACTCATAGCTCCCAGCCCTAAATGTTGATGTTAAGTATCTAACAGATATAATGGCATCTTTGGTAATCTAAGACTTGTTTACATATTGCAAATTGTTTAAAGCATAGAGCTTTAAAGCATTTTTAAAAAAACTAATGCAGGTGAAAAAAATACATGAGACGTGAAATAATTTTAATGTTGGATATTGTATATGTATTTTTATTCTAATAAACTTTTGTGTTCCAGATTGGATTTTATTAGAGTCTGGGCTCAGTCTCATGACTTTAGTGCCACAGGGGTGTAGCTGTTGGATGAGGTCTGTGTGTGTGTGTGTGTGTGTGTGTGAGAGAGAGAGAGAGAGAGAGAGAGAGAGAATACGTGTGTGCTATGTAGGTACACGTGTGTTAGGGAAGGTATTCTGTGCTGTGTGGGTACACGTGTCAGGGGAGGTATGTACATGTGCGTGTGTATGTGTGTGGAAGTCAGAGGTCAGCCTCGGGTGTCATTCGTCTTGATTGTTGGCACAGGGTCTCCTTTGCACTGGCTGAGGGAGAAGAATCCCAAGTTTAAGGCCACTTGGGGCTACATATTAAGACCTTGTAGTAAAAAATAAACAAAAACTTTTAAACATATATATATATTATAAAATATAATAAACTTATATTTTTAAAGTACCCTTGCAGTTTATTTGGCTACCTGATCTACAGTCATCTTTTTTATGGTTGTATCTGTTGAATGGTAGAACTGTAATCAGCCAATTGTTGCTCAAGTCAGGCAAAATTTCAGACTCACTCCATTTAAAGAGTATAATCTATTTGACCGATAGAATTTTTCATTTTTATTCTTTCAGTTTACTTTTCCTTCCCTACTTCCTTTATTGAATTCTTTGGTCACTTTACGTGTTCACGTCCTTATCTCCCTCAGCTGTTTGAGCTCTCTTAGAGGTCACGCAAGAGCTCGCTTGTGTCTTTGTTGGCTTCTCTGAGCACAGTTATAACCGTCCTCTTGATGAACTGCATGTCTTGGGTTCCACTGAAGTCACTCTTTGGGAAGGCCGTGACTGTGGGACTGGCCATTTTCAGAGGCATCCTTTCACCTCGGAACTTCATGTTTCTCTTGTATTTGCTTGAAATTTTGTGCCTCTGGTTTTAGTTTTTTGGCTGATTTTTTTTTTTCAGTTACTTTAATCCTTTCAGTGGGAGTGTTGCAATCTTCAAAAGCTGTTTGGCTGTGCTAGGGTGGGGTGCCATTTCCCTCATCTAGATTGACGTTCAATCCCAGGTCCCCAGCACACCCCTGAGAGTACAATAATGTTTGCAACAGCAGTCACAATTAAAGGGTAGACTCACCATTAAAATATAGTAACAGCGGGCAGAGGTGATGGCTCAGAGGTCAAGAACACTTGCCAGAGGATTCCAGTTTGGGGGTCTAGTGCTCGTGTCAGACAACTCAGAACTGCCCGTGACTCAAGCTCCCGAATATCTGACATCTTCTGGCCTCCTTGGGTGCTCATTCACAAGTGGCCCAAACTTCAATGCACAGTCACGTGACACTTGCCCTGGGGTTCACAACACATCTCAGGCTGCTATGCCTCCAACCCAACAAGGTTGTGTGTGTGTGCACATGTATGTATGTATGTATATGTACACTTATGTACAGGTATGTTGGTCATAGGTCAACAGAATGTATTAGTCTATCACTCTCAACTTCATTTTTTTATTTGTGTGTGATGTATACATGTGGAGTGTGAGGTGCTTGCACACAGAGGCCATTGAATGTCTTCCCCAAGCACTCTGCACTTTCCCAGTATTATATATGTTTACGTGTGTGGGTGCATGTTCGTGCTTGTGTCCGTGTCGGGTGTGCCATATGCTTGTATGTGAAGACAGAGAGGCACATCATGTACCCTCTTTGCTCTCTGCTTTATTCCCTTGAGACAGGTTCTTTCCTGAACCTGGAGTTCTTCCTTTGGGGGCTGGGCAAGGTTGACAGTCAGAAAGCCCCAGTGCTTCTCGTATCTCCAGCCCTTTGCTGCCATCTCTCCAGCTTGGAGTTACAGGAGTACACAGCCATGTCCAGCTTTTCACACGGATTGTAGGAATCTGAGCTCAGGTCCTCCTGCTTGCCAGCAAGAGCTCCTATCCACTGAGCTTTCTCCCCCAGCCCATATATTTCTGGACGAAATCTCTCACTGAACCCAGAGCTCACAAACTCAGCTAGACTGGCTAGCCTGAGAGACCCCAGGATGCTCCTTGCCTCTGCCCCTTGAGCACCAGGAGTAGAGATGCATGCTGTTGTTCCCAGCTTCTAGATGGGCCCAGAGAATCTCAAATCAGGTCCTCATGCTTGTGTGACAAGTACTTCATTCACTGGGCTGTCTCTCCAGCCCCAGGGGATTTTTATAAATGGCATCACCTGGCTGCTGCATGGAGCGCTGGATGCCAAGGACTCATCACAATGAAATCGCGTGGCTGCTGCACAGAGTGCTGGATTCCAAGGACTCAGCACAAGCACTTGTTAGTGGAGACCACTTGTTCGTTTTCCAGCTGCCCAGGACTCCCAAAATAATCACACAGAAACAGTTTTATTTAAATCACTGCTTGGCCAATCACTTAAGTGTGTCGCTAGCTAGCTCTTCCATCTAGTATTAACCCATTTCCATTATTTTATATTTTACCACGAGGCTCGTGGCCTACTGGCAAGGTTCCGGCTGGGGGCTCCATGACTTCTCCCTGACTCCGCCTTCTTTCTCCCATAAACAAAAGGACTCCCCACACCAAGCACTGTGAAGAGAGGGCCTTCCTGACATTTACTGCCAGCATCATGGACATACTGGGTCACCCCTCCTATCCTGCCCTTTCAAATACCCCTCACTGGGGCTGGAGAGTTGTCTCCACAGTTAAGAGCATTGGCTGTTCTTGCAGAAGACCTGGGTTCAATTTCTAGCACCTACATGACAGCTCACAACCATCTGTAGCTCCAGTTCCAAGGGCTCTGGTGTCCTCTTCTGACCTCTGCAGAAACTGGGCACATACATGGTACACACATGCATGCAGGCCAAACACTCATACATATATTATAACAAAATGAGTAAACCCTTAAAAATCAAAAATAAAATCAATTACTAAAATTAGGTGTAGATTTCCTTAGCCTCCCTTTCTTAACCTGTGGCTCCCTGGAGAAGTGGGAGATCCCACTGCCAATGCCCAGGACAGACTGACCCCTGATTTGTAAAGTTCTTCTCTTTATCTGCTGTTAAAGCCACACATACCCATGCCTCACCCACCTCTTCACCAGCTGCTACCCAGCTTCCCCTAGTGTACTCCCTGGTGACTGGCAGGCATGTCGGGGTGGTCACCTGTAGGGCGCCAAGGTGTGACAACCCTGCCATCATTTCCTGCCTCTCAAGCAGTTTCGGCCCCGCACGCCTTCCCGAATGGCGCGATCCAGCCGCCAATCGTGAGCTGACTCGTAAGATCAGGAGTGGCCAGAGCCATTCAGACATGGACACGTCTCAGGCTTTGTTCTGCACGGCATATAAACCGTGCGCGCCAGGGTCCGGGGTCCTTAGCCATCAACCTCAAGCTGTGTGCTCCCAATAAAAGTACGTTCTGAGAAGAATCCTGTTGTCGTCTCTTCTGCTGGCGGGCTCAGCGTGCCACAGTCACCTACCATCGTCTCAATCCTTTTGTATTACCCAGTCTTCTGTTCCTTTGCTAGACCAACTTCACTGTCGGTGGCCCCAAGAATCATTAGACATCCATAAATACAGCATGAGAGTTTTAATTCGTGTTCATTCCTGTCACCCTGGGACACAAGTCCTTCCAGCCGGTTGGCCTAACCTTCCACTCTTCTACACAGAAGAGGATCTTGTCACATGCTGAATTTACTGCAGTTATTTTCTGTACTGAATCAGGATCCTTGATACCAGGACTATCATCTGTTAAGCAGGCCTATTGTCAGGGGAATTGGTAGACAGGATAGGTTTGTCAACAATAATAGCAGGCGATTCTAATCCCTGATTAGAGGAAAGCCTACAGTCGGTCCTAGGAGAAAAGGCCCTGCTTGCCTATGAATACAAAGGAATATAATGACTCTTTCTGGCGGAGACTCCCAACAGAACGTTCCTGTGCATGCTCTTTTCATTCCAGAACTGTGTTTCTTCAAGCATGGTCCTCCCTTTCTGAAATGCTTTTCTGATCCCGCCCATGATAAGTTCACTATTTTAAGTATCGATGCGGTCATGCCCTTTGGTTATTGGTGCTATTGCACGAATGCTCAATTACAAAACTGTTCAGTGTTTTCCAGAAGGAGTATAACAGAAGCATTTGGTATTTTCTAGTTCAGAGGCCGGGAGGGAGTTCGTGTTGAGCAAGAACTATGGAGTTTCGCCAGAGGCTGACATTTCAGATTACATCGTTGCAATTATATAGTTGAATGGAAGAACAGACTGTAGACTTATGAGGGTCTAAGAAACCTTGATGTAATTCAGAGATTTAGCCTTTGGGTGTAATTTTATGGATTTGATTTCTCCAAATCCCAAATGGGCCCACCAGGTATTAAACCCTAAGTGTAGCCCCCTGCTCTGTGCTGTTCAGGGCAGATTCATCCCTCATGGACTGTTGTCCAACAATCTGCAGGTGGCTTTCTCGGATGGCTCTCTTCCATTCTGGAAATATCTGAAGGGTTTTGCCTGTTTCACTCTATGCCTGTCATGTTCGGACCACTTCAGGAGACAGCAGAGTGTTTTATCTACTTCAACCCCTACCTGTGTGGAACTCTTTAGACAGATAGCCATAAATGTCATCATAAAGGATAAAATGGATGTAGTTCCCTTGATACCTTTGTAGGATTTTGTGAATGTTGGTATGTGTCTCTTCACACTCTCCAGAAAGCTCACAAGGCAAAGACCTGCTTGAGTGCAGTGAAGAACTCCCCTTGGCCACAAAACTTGGGTGTAACATGAGGGGGCCGGCTCGTTGGGGTTTCCGTCCCGCCTGGTACCCCACAGCTGGCAAATCCCAAAGAAAATCAACCACACAGAGAACTCTATAAGTTATAAACTGATTGGCCCATTAGGTCAGGCTACTTATTAGTTCTTATGACTTATCTTAACCCATTATTCTGATCTATGTTATCCATATGGCTTGGTACCTTTTTCAGCTGTCAGCTTACATGTTGCCTCTTCAGTGGTCTGCGCAGGAATGGCTGAGGAATCAACTTCCTCCTCCCTAGCCTCCTCCTATTCTCATTGCCC